GATTTATAAATGATTTACCTTACAAATCTGATGAAATGCCGCACGTTGCGTTCCCAGATGAACGTTATAATAAACCCAAACTCACAACAACATGCAGAGATGGAGTTTGAGATGCTCCACACGTGTGAATGATAACAGCTCCTGTGGAGCTACTGTGACGCATGTACTTAACCTACACGCATGTAAATAATTAAAGCGCATATACTGTATTAGAACTGCATCGCATATAATTAATTAATTAAATCATAGCGTTTGTGAATTCACGGTGATGCTTAATTATGATTTTTAAATGGGTTTAATATATCATGCAGCCTTGGAAAACAGTCTAATAATGTTTCATGGATTCTCGTCCGTGAAATGCGGCACTTCCGGTATTCTGCCGGTTAGTCGACGCCAGCAAAATGAAGTCGAGGATCTGTAAAAATCGAATAGTCGAATAAAATTGGCGAATTGCGACAGCCCTAGTTATTTTAGCTCTTTATGTTAAACTAAACAGAAATTAAAAAGGTTGCCTTGGAAATAATAAAAAAAGGAATATAAGTGAATAAAATAAGTTATGTATATTTTATTTCAGTTGTAGATTTTTTTTATATCAAGTAACGAGAATGTTTTACTTTTAGGTAAGGATAATAACCCTGCATCAGATTGTGTTATCACAAAACATCAGGACAAACGGTGGTGTTATTGATTGTTTAAAGTGTTTGTAATGTGTGTGTGTGTGTGTGTGTGTGTGCAGCGATCGTGGAGGGCGACAGCTTCGAGGAGATCTACCACCGCGTGAAGTCTGTGATCGAGGAACAGTCTGGACCGTATATCTGGATCCCTGCGCGAGAGAGACTGTAAACACACACACACACACGCATGAGGACTTCCAGCAGGGGCTCATGGGAGTCTCTAGGATGAAGCTCGTGCACAGGATGATCTTCTGATTCACACCAACAGCTCGTTACATAATGTAAATATGCGTCCGTGCGCATTGGTTTCTATGGAGTGGGCGGGGATGCTTACCTCATTGCCATGGCAACAGTTCATCGTGGGGTCAGAAACAGCGACCAAGTGAAAACATGACAGCGCTGCGTGTGTGAACTAGCCTTAACGAACGTGTGTGTGTGTGTGTGTGAGCCACTGCTACTGATGAGAGGATGAAGGTGATCATGTGGGTTGTTTCCATGGCGATTGTGAGCTCAGTGAGTGTAACAGTGTGAGGCAATATAGACATGAGCACTGAGCACTTTACTAACACACACACACACACACACTAAGATGCGTGTGTGTCTCTCATTGTGATGACGTGTCTCTATAGGGCTACTGTTTACATATAATACACACTTTAAACTGCACAGGGAGAGATAAGCGTGTATGTGTGTGTGTAAGAGTGTGTGTGTGTGTGTGTGTAAGAGTGTGTGTGTGTG